TCAATTTTAGTGGACTCTGCATAATGGTAGAAGAAAAACTTACATAGGATACAGATCCGATTGACTATAATTTAATTTGTTTTTTTTTATTCAAAAAAAAGGCAACAATGAAATATTATGGAAATTCAAAAAATTCGAAATGGTATTAATTTTTTTTAATTCAAAAAAAAAAATTCAAAAAAAAGGATTTTAATTCAAGGTTGAGTGAAATTTTTCCAACTCTGTGTTAGCAATGCTTGCTTACTTAAGTCCTAATTTTTTGTTCTAAAGTTTCCTAATGGAAAAATGTTGTCCGAAACGTGAGACACGCTGAATTATTTTGCATACGGCACTTATTTGCGGGCTGAGCGGCTCCGCATTGGATCGTGTCCATCTGTGAAAGTTTCCGATTCATTTGTGAAGTGTGGAAAGATTAATGGCTGGTTTTTAAAGTTTGCAAATCTCGGGCATTAAAGCTTTTGAATGGGAAGATCTGCTACTGATAAAGAAGGAACCTCAGAAGTAGTTGACACACATCAGGGTAATCCCGAGGCTCCGCCGTTTTTTGGTGAAACAATATAGGTGCTAGTAAAAAAAAGATTGAATCCAAAATAAACGTTTGGTACTAGATGACGGAAACCTAGCCGACGACTACAAGATAGTGCTCCGAGACCTCAAAAACATACTGAAATCAGAAAAAGAGTATGTTTAAGCTTAAACTCACTCGAAGCGAGAGAAACAGTAGAGAGCATTAGTCAAGTCCATTTCAAGTGCAATGAAATATGGTTAATTAAGAAAGGTTGTTTAACAATTGGTGCATCTCTTGCCTTTATATTAGCATATTTTTGGCTGAAGCAGTACAAAACTGCACTATCGAGGGATATTCCCGAAATAATTATGCCTGAAAAGTCCTAATGGAATATGTCCCGAGTGCAACAAGCAGGTCACCTACAAGTCAAAAGGTGTAGAATGTGAATGCTGTTTGAACTGGTATCACGTACAATGCGGTGATATATCAGATGATTTTTATCGAAATAAAAATGAAACCGCCTTACTATAGAAAAGGCATCGCAATAAGGAAGAAAAATAGGTCATTGCAAAAAACTAGCTTTTTTCACCGCTACGTGGACGATAGAGTGAGAACAGTGAAGGGTGATCCTGAAGAGGTGCTACGGGCAGCAGAGTTACTACATCCAAATTTACAGTTCATAATAGAGAAACCAAACACATCTGGGAAATTGGCATTTTTTGGATTTACAAATTAGTGTTGACAAAACAGGAAAAAAAACTGTGAATGGTATCAGAAACCAACAGATACAGTTACCATACTAAATTTTAAATGTTGCGCCCTCCTTCAGTACAAGAGAAGTGTCATTGAAGGAACTGTTCACCGGGTTTTCCTCAGTACGTACAAATGGAAAGATTATGATAAAGCGAAGGAAATCAACCGTAAACAGTGGTTGGATAACCAAAATCCGGAAAGTTGGTCATCGCGGGTTGCATCGCAAAACTTTGAAAAGATAATCAGGGAGGGCAAAAACAAAAAGAAGATGGCTGAGAAAAGAAAGTTCTGTGATGATTGCAACAATTCACCACATCTTGATGGTTCAATGTCGGGGGAATCACACACAAGAATTAGAAAAAAAAAGTGCGCGATAACACCATTGCCCAGATAATACTCACGACGAGGAAAATGAAAAATTGTATGCCCTCTTTAAAATCCTCCTTTTCCTGTGAACTGAAATCAAAAGTGTGTACAGACTTCAATGTTGTAGGTGCAAATCCATCTATGTTGGCCAGAAGCTCCGATATATTACCACAAGGATTGAGGAACACCGAAAAGATGATGACCCATTTTTCAGCTTTTAAGGCAGTGTGGTAGTGATGGTGGTAAGTCGGAGTTCAATTGAAAGATAATCGACCAGGCCTCCAGCAGCATTAAGTTACGTACATTAGAGGCGAAGCTGATTACGAAAGAGTGACCGGCAATTAACATGTGCGACGAGTTTAGACGTAGAGAGCTGACCTTAAGGTTATAGTTCCAGAATTGAAAAAATTTCGGCTAAAACAAAAGTTATTGAAGTAATTTACATGAAAGTATGAAATGAGCGACAAAAAGAAATTTTAAAAACAAAAAAGTTGAGAACTCAGAAATTTGTGACTAAATGAATAGAGTTGTTACATAATTGTTGATACAAAATTTTAGTAATTAATGTGATGTTTTGATTGGTTAATTTTTTTAAAATTTGAAATGATGACATGAATTACACTTTTTACGATCGTTGAACAATTTGTACAGATAGTTAGGTTTTTAAAGCCTGAAGATGCACGAACATATGCGAAAACGTTTGTTTGATTTTACAAATTTAACGCATTCTCAGCTGTTTACTTGATGTAGAATTGATGGTGCTAGGGATCTTAGCAGACCGGTTTCTTAGCAGACCGGTTTTTTAGCTGTCCGGTTTTTTAGCAGACTCAGAACTATTATAAAGTGTGATAGCTAACTTCAAACGCGGCATTGGAGACTAGCGACCGCTTGCTCCACTGCGCTTCGATTCAAGATGAGTGTTGTTGTGCGCATAAATCTTTGTTTTACCGCTAATTTAGACTGTTATCTAATTGAAAATGATAGTTTTGTTTACAAATTGAGAGATAATCGTCTAAATTGAAGAAGCTTGATGAGCTTGTCAATCGATCGTCCATCGCTTTATTATGTTGGTCTGCTAAACGACTCATTTTTTCACTTTTTATGCTAAATGATTGGTCTGCTAACGATCGGTCCCCAGAAGTGATACCTGTGCCTTTGAACCTTATTGTCTGTACTTCGAATCTTTTTCTGTTTTCACGCAAAATTAGGAACCACAAATAATCATCGGACAGGGTCGAGTGTTATATCTCATCAAAGAACCTAGTCGAACGACATTAAAATTTGTTCAAAAATATTTCCTGGTGTTGAGAAAATTTGGTTCTGATTTTTTGTTTGTTTTTCTTTTGAGCTAGTAAAGCAAACGAGTAACGTTTGTTATATATGAAAGTTGGAAATTTAGGCTTAAAAACTTGATTTTACCAAAACCGAAACTTGTTTTGGAAGCATCATTTAGCTCTTCTGACTGCAAAATTTAGTAGAACTTTCGACCACTCAAAATACAGCCAAATTCGAATTAACATTCAATGCGATTTACTGTTTTTATGTACAGGGGTGGAGATTCTTTAGTAGATACAATAGGAGTGGTGGGGGGGGGGGTGTGGGGAGATTGTTTAGTAGATCCGAGTTTCGCTCAAAGTCTATAACCACGGCGGGCAATTGCATCCGAAGAGTCGAAATGTTTTATTGGAAAATCTGGATGTTCATCGCAGTATTTAAAAATTAGGCTAGCATAATTATCGGATAATCGACGATCTCGCATTTTGAACTTGGTCTGACAAAAAAATAAAGGTTGTTCGGCTTCAAATGTTGCATGCAAAAAGCGTCGATAAGCACTGATTGCTCATTTTAATTAATTCTGAGTGTCTGAAGTTTTTCCTACTAATTATAGCTAGTAATTAGTTCAAACCCGTCTCAGGTTATCATTATCTTTTCAAAAAATTCTCGATGCTATTTTTATTCGGTTCCTGGCTTTCGTCCTAAATTCTGTCGGTTCATTTTCCGTTTTTTGAACACCTTTTTTCATCAGGTAGGGATTTTATTGTTTAAAGCATGGGTTTTGTTTCAATTTAAACAATTTTTACTTCTGAAACACGAATTTGTACATTTACTACGTCTGATTTTTTATTTCATTTTTTTTTGTTTATTTTTTAAATATTCAAAAAGTTTCAGTTTATGTTATATCGACCTAGTCAACTTGTTTTGCGTTATTTTGTGGGGAAATCTATCTACTTGAGATTATATGTTTAACGTTGGATGGGGCAGAAAAATGTGGCAACTCATGGTAAAGTTTCATGGAAAAGCTTCAAGTTTATATAATAACATTTATTTATCAACCACCTTGAAGCTCTCAGGTGAAAAGTAATTATCGATAATTGTAATCGAGTTTGTTTTGTTTATAGTTATTGTAACTATGTGTATCTAATGTTGTTATAATATTTTTATGAACTGATAGGAAAAAAAAACAGAAAACATTTGACATACACTTGTGTATTGAAATTAATTTCGATGTGCAATTAAAGTGTTTTTTTTTTTAAGTTTTGTTTTCGGTTCAGCAGGTTTCGACCGAAAGTTTGTCGCATTTGTTGGCTCTCGGTAAATGATTTCCATTTTTATGGGCTGTTTATGAACTTCATCTGATACAAAATGACGTTTTTGTAACTGTAATTTTCAACTTTTGTCAAATTTTTTTATCAAGTAGTTTTTTGCAACAATTTTTCAAGAGTGTTTTTATACTTCTGTGTAACTGTATTTTCTGTTTTTCATTGATTATTTTGTATCACAATGTGTTTTTTTGCATCGCAAGTGCTGCGAATCTCCGCTTCACCTCTGTGTGTTATTTTGTGTGTTGCAGCGGGATGGGTTGCCAAGGTTTCAAGCTTAATTTTGTTCTCTCTTAAGCTTTTGATGATAAAAGTTTTTTAGGTCAGTGTTCAAATTTTTTTTAGCCTAAAAAACTTTCATCGGGTGATAAAAGTTTTTTAGGTCAGTGTTCAATATTTTTTAGCCTCATCGGGTGTCTATCCAAGTATTGTTGGCTTAGCAGCCGCTCGGGAAATGAAAGCTAACCTAGTGCTGGTGCTTCTTGACTGTTTTGATGAAATTGAACTATGCTTTTGTTTCTGGTGCTTCTTTTTTTTTTACTGCTGTGCTTACCTTGTATCGCAAGTGTAGCGCAGCTCCGCTTTATCTCTTAGAAAAGTTTTCGAATCATCTGTTGGCTATGTTTTTAATTTGGTTTTTTATTATCAAACCATGAAATATTATGGAAATTCAAAAAGCTCAATGTGGCATAAATTATTTTTAAAATGATCAGTGGAATTTTTCAAACTGTGTTGGCAATGCTTGTCCAAGGAAGTCCATAAGATGTTTTTTTTTAGTTGTCCTAATGGATAAGTGTTTTCCGAAATGGGAGACACTCTGAAATATTTTGCGTACGGCTCTAATTTGCTGGCTGAGCGGCTCTGCATTGGATCGTGTCCATCTGTGAAAGTTTCCGATTCATTTGTGAAGTGTGGAAAGATAAATGGCTGGTATTTAGAGTTTGCAAATCCTGGACATGAAAGTCTTTGGATGGGAGGATCTGCCACTATTAAGAAAGGATCATCAGAAGCAGTTGTTTGGGGAGCCATTTGGAAAATTGATGCTAATGATTTGAAGAATCTGGATTTTCAAGAATGTGTCCATGAAGGACTCTATTATCGAGTTAAGTCTCCTGAAGATATTTTAATAGTTGACTCAGAAAATCAACCGATTGATTGCTATACCTACATAATGAACGACAGAGCGATGCTATCGAAACCATCGCCTCAGTATAAACATGTTATTCTCTGTGGAGCTAAGCAGATAGACCTGCCAATTGAATACAGGGAAAATGTTTTGGAAGCTATTGAGACTAATGATAATGCTGAGGTGAAAATTAATTTGTCTGTACTTCCCAACGGGAAAGTTCCTGTTTTCCGATCAGTTTAAGTTCAGATAGAACTAATGGTTTTGTGTAAAAGTTGCAAACTAACACTATCTAATAAATTGTATATTTGAGACTTGAAAACTCCTTGATCAAAAATGCACGCAAAATTTTTTTGAAGAGACGTTCTCGGCTTAAAAAACTAGAACCGTAACTAGAGTTGCACCGGATAGTGGTATCCGGAATCGATATCCGGTTATCCGGCAACTTTCTGATTTCGGCACGGATGTCCGGTAATGTTGTAAGAGTATTCTAGCAAAATCATACGCAATATAAATTTGGTGGTTGGCGTTTTCCGCCACTTTTTCGTACGAGCGCGCGCGAGTTCCATAAGCCTTTAGCCAGCAGCAGCGAGCGTTTAACGTATAGGTTTTGACGGGCATCAAGCCGATCTCGGAAAGTTACCGTCATTTTTTTCCTCGGGGTTTTTCCATTGTGACTGGCTTGGGAAGTAGAGCAGGCGATTTTTTCCGATTTATTTTCCATTCACTTCCCTGGGAGAAATTCCAATTTTTTCCCGACCAAAGTTGGGAATTAAAAGGAAACCGGTTTAGTTTTTGAAAAATTTAAATTTTTTGTTTTAGCTCACACTATTGCCTAGCCTATAGGTTTTGGTCCCACAAGCCGGATGATCGGGTTCAAATCCTGATCGGAGACAAAAAATTTTATCGAATTTTTTAAATGTGATATATAAAGTAAGAGTTTAACGGTCATATTTTAAAGTAAAAAAGATAGAAACATGCGGTCTTCACTATGATCCCTTATTTGACAAGGTTATATGCCCTGGAAACGAAATTTGGGTGGTAGATAAGGGTTAGAGGAAAATTATTTGTCATATTGGTTGTTTTCTGTCAAAACAGTTCCATATTAATGTCTCCTTTTGTATCAAACGGTCTGCGTATAGCCAGTAACCATAGTGGAAGGTAAAACATTTGATTAATCAACCACAGGTTGCACTTCGAGTCTCGTATTTAGGGATGAAACTAATTTTCTCATTTTTTTTTTATTTGATCGATTTGATTTTTTCTTTCCATCTCGTTTAAAACTAGGAAAGTATCTGAAAAATCGTTCTATTAAAAAAACATTTTTTTTATAACTGAACAGTTTCAGTTCTTCAAAAAGTTCTTCCAAATTAAAAATAGCTCATCCTCCTCTCACATCGTTTCTTGAACAATTTTTTGGCTTCAGCCTAAACAACAGGCAACGTTGCGCAGTAAGTTAGAGCGGTAGCCTCACGACCGGCTGGTCTATTTTTTTTGCTGTCGGCTGATCGAAACTCGTGCAAAGTTTTGCTTCGCCTCTGTGTGAATTGTTTATGTTGGATTTTTAGAGTGAAATTTTTGTTGGTTCTTTTGATGAATTTTTTTGGTCTTTTTTGAAATAAGTTTCTGGAAATTTGTTCTAAATGTAACGAGGGTTACCTATAATGTATTACCTGTTCGATTATATCGTTCAATTAAAAACTCTAATATTGAGCTGCCAACACAACAATTATCATTTTGCTTTGGCAATTATTAATTGGATCCAATTGTTGTATGAATTGCTCGAAAAAAAAGTAATTCTAATCTTAATGCCTGAAGGCTCAAACATCAAAAAATTTTCGGAATAAAACTAAATCAAACTGAATTACATTTCATATTTAAGCAAATGCTTATGTTTAAATCTTTCATTAAAGAGATACATTGATTGAGGGGAATTTTCCACTTGAAGTATAGAGTCAGAATTTGGATATAAAATACTCATTAAAAGTATTTGAAATCGAGTTTTCAGATAAGTTTTTGCCACTTACACAAAGACTTGGCATTCCCCTAAACTTAGTAGCCTCACCTGTTATTTCATTTACTATTTTGAAAAGTTGTCTCGACTTCCCAATACTATCAGTAAACTTAGTAATTGTTCTACTTTGTTAATTGTTAAAGTGTATGACATTTATTACGGTCTTTATTGAACTTATTTCTTTTGTTTTAATTCAGCTTATCTAATTTTCATATCAGTCAGATCTGTGAACTCTAAGTTGTTCTAAATTTGATTGAAAATCAGGATTTTTTCGTTTTCAAGAGAAGATAGATTTCGAAACATACTTATAATTTTAGGCATCAATGGGTTTACTTTTATACCGTAACCGGATAATCAGGGTGGGAGTTTTAAATGTTTTTATCCAATTATACATTAAAACATGTTTTTTACGAAAAAAAAGCACGTTTTTAATGTTTTTTTCGCGGTTACGTTTTTTTTTGTTGATTGGCTTAAGAAAAAAATTTTTCGCGAACACTGAATTCAACAGTTGAATTGTTTGTACAAGAAAGTAATTTTCCCCGCTTTTTCGACGTCAAGTTGATTTCTCAAAGATCCGTAAGTCATTAACTGAGCCGATGTAACTCATTCCGGCCTGCAACTTCAACTGGGGAAAGTTTTTCACCGCGAAATCTGTGGTCGAGAAGGTTAGCTGCGTAGAAAATCAGCGAGCAGGTCAAAGCAACAGGCGATAAAAGTGAGGTGTGAAACTTCGAGCACTACTGAGTCATAACTTTAGCACTATTGCGTCATTTGCCGAAAAACGGCTTTAATTGTGTATTTCAATCAAATTGTTTTAAACGTGTTTTTCCCCGCTGTTTTAAACAGTTTTTATCCCTGTGTTTTAAACTGCTTAAAACAAAGTCCCCCATCCTGCGGATAATGATTGGAAAACGATTAATTACCTAGTACTGATACTTCAAAATCGGTTATTTCGAACTATTTTTTTTATCAATATAAGATTCGCTGGACTCTGAAACTTTTTGGGGTGATCTATATACGAATTCAAAACCATAATTACTTATGTCAAGGTTGAAATCATCAGTAACAGTAATTGTGGAGTTTTTCTGTTGGAAAGGACTTCTCGTTCTTTGTCTAAATGTTGTACAAGTTTCACTTTGTCAATTCTAGTAGGTATATGCATCTTTACAATACTTGTTCGCTGCCCATTGAAATCAACCAGAATGCCAAAGATTTCGGTGTAATTGTAATTTTTGTTTTTAGGAACTTATTCTATCGCACACTTGAACCATTGTACCGCCACCTCGCTTTTTTCTCTTTTTAGAATACACAGAGGGAAAACTTTGAAGAGCGTACACATAGCGTACTTTGGGATCCGCCGGATACTTCGTCTCTCCGAAAAACACTAAAACACTTAATAACCTTTTGAGCACTATTGTAGGACTTTGGCCTCCTTCAAACAATCCATTAATTTATTTTATTTTATTGTTACGTTTCCATATGAAAAAGATTACTCCTTGTCTTGTCCACACAGACGTTTTTCTTTGATTTTTTTCGTCATTTTATGAAATTTACGCTTGGTTGACTCAGGTGTTCGATTATATTTATTTAATCAAATTTTACATGCGAGCCAATGACTTTTTGTTTCGCAGACTTATTTTTCCAATCCTCCTTGACAAGCAATTAATGATAGGTTGGCTTCCTTTAGGTCCCGATGGTAGGCGATTCGCCTCTGATTTATCTTGTTCTCTACATTAGCTCCAATTTCTCGTGAAATGTTGACTACTTGAGAAGTGATACTTTCATTAGACTCCCATCTGTTCTCACCATCAATTTTTTCCGGGTCACCCAACATATGTAACTTATCACGACGATCAGCGGCTTCGAGTTTCTCAGACTGACGTTTTAAGTCGGTTTAGATTGGCTTAAGTGGATATCATTCATGTTGCAGACGACAAAGTTTCCTACTTGATGGCATTCATTGCTTTTTGTACTGGACCATTTATTATATGTTAGAGTTCGTTCTTTATTTTCTCCAATATACTTAGAAGCGACATGAGTAAATTCATGATAGTATTCTCTATCTTTTTTGAAATACGATCATTGAGATGAGATCGTTCTTCTTCTCGTGGACTCAGGGCAGACTTGGTTCTCTTAATTCTAGATCTGGAGATAGCAGTATGGTCGGGAAATCTCAAACCCGGGATATCTTGGTGTTGACATCACCTGGACCATTTAATTTCATATATGGTGTTCATTTTGTGATCATTTTTTTGTACATTGCTGCCTCTCTGAAACACTTTAATAAGTTTAAAAAAACAATTAGGCTAAGTAAAGTCTTTTCGAGAAGGGTGAAATGATTGACACTAGCTGGTTGACAAGTTTTCTAAATAACGAGCTAACCAAGAAAATTTGCGCAACCACCAAGTATCACGCATCAATACCTCAGGTATATTATCAAATTTTCACCTTTCTCGAATGTTTTCGTTCCTTTTCACATTTTTTCATGCCGTTTTCTTACCGAAATCACTAGTGATAGCGAAATCATTAACCATAGACTTGAGGCATCTTGATCTTTGACGCCCTGGTTTCATATGGATGTTAACCCCTCTTTAAATGGCGCCGGAAATTTATTTCAATTTACAGATAGTTTGATATGCAATTTCTTCCGACGTTTGAAATTCAATGTGTAATGTCTTTCGAACGATGTTTTGTCCTTAGGAATTTTTCTGGTTTTGCGGAAAGATCTAGAGGGGATTAAGTTTGACAACATGGGAAACTTTTTAATATGATTCAAGATTAGAAGTCATCAGGATTTATTTTTTGAAGTTTCATCTAGCATGTCACTCTCTACTCAGGCAGTTCCCAGTATTGTTTTCTTTTTTTTTCTGCGTTATTTTTTTTCTTTGCGTTGAAGGTTATGTGAAGCTGTAGTAGATACCGCCCAACCTTACCATCTCATCTCCTACTACATATAAAAGTTTCTAATTTTAAAGCAGTTCTTCGTCGTGCTGTAGGCAAAATGCGAAATATTACGATGTAAAGATACAAACTGTGTTCAAATTAATTTTTTTTTCACTGCAAATTTTATTTCCTATTTTATAATGTCAATTTCAAAATGCTATATAAAAAATGCGAGTAGCTGATTAGTCACCTGTGATTCTGGACACTGGAAGGACTATTAGACCAAGACTGATTACCCTAGCGATGATTAAAATCCATACCTGCTGGTCATTTAATCAAAGGTTTTATTTGTGGGTGGTTGGCATTTCCGCCACATAAGTTCAGCCAGAAAATTTGATTATAATTAAATGTGAAGTATTCTTATT